CAAGGTGAGGCTTATGTAGGGAGTAAAGAAGTGTTGCAGCTAACTATTTTCTCAGGTTCGGCGGCAACTGGAGTACTCGATTGCAGAGAGCAAAGGACAGCACATTGTGAAGCCTCCAAATACTATGCAGGCAGTCCGAGAAATATACAAGGCTAATGGTATCCGTGGCCTGTATACTGGTTTCCGGCTTCACTGCTGTATGTTCACAGCACTTTATTTCTGTCTCCGGTCTGACGGATGTTAGTGAGGGATACGCTAGGAACGTCTCTTTATTTCTTCGAGTATGACGGTCTACGGCATATCATGGGGCGTCATCTTTCGGGCGAACAAGGACCGACACCATCATGGATGCCAGTGCCCAACTCGTTGGTACCCTTTCTGTGCGGGTCCCTTGCCGGTGTCACTTCTTGGGCTCTCATATACCCTCTCGACGTGCAAGTATACAGTATATATGCCGGCTAAACTAATATTGATATGGAGTATATAGGGTCAAGACCAAAGTGCAACAACGTGCTTTAGCAGGCACACCGCGGAGAGGGGTTTGGGAAACTCTGTATCGTCTCGTTAGAGGTTAGGTGTTCCGCACGGTTCTGTTACTTGTGTTTTCTCATTTTGATAATAGGACCCGATCCCGACAAACCAAAACCTATCCTACTCGGTATGGCGCGCATATACCGAGGACTTGGGGTCAGCGCGTTACGTAGCGTCACGACACATGGTCTTCTCTGGACATTGTTCGATATAACTGCAGCTTACATTGATAACTTACCCCGCAAACACTCGGAAGAGAGTCCATGAGGGGTTCGATTTTTTTTACAGTCGTAACGTATTTACTTTGCTGTCTTTCGCTTCATCCTGGTCCTACAATCCCAATGATTTTCCATCATCATCTCAATGTCAACTTGAAAGCGTGGGGTGGTCAGACTAGTGTTTCGTTACCGTCTGTTTCTGCAAGAGGATAGACTGTATGCGTCTGGTTTGTCTGTCTAATGTCAATCTTCTTCCCTCTTGTATTCGTAGGGTTCCACTGATATTTAACATTTATTGTCGATTGTGAAAACCTTTTTTATTCCTCCTCAATCCGGTTGTGCCTGCCATAGTGCGCGCATTTTCGGGCGCCTAATTGTACCTGACTGGCCACTTCCGACGTAAATTCGACACAGCATTGTCCGACGTCCGTACGGTCTGCGTGATTGGAGGAGCCTACAAAGGTCCATCTTCCACATGCTTCAATAATGGATTTCACAGAAATCTACAAGCAAACTGCGGGTCTTGTCTCTTTCAGTCCTGGGGCGCATTTTATCCTCACAGCGGTGCAGGATAGACTGGTTATACGGCGTGCTGATTCATTCCAGATAAACAGGACATGGCAGGTTGCTTCTACCCCTGATACGCAGCTCGGGAAAGGGGATACCAGAGCCAACGCTCCGTCAAAACCTACCGCGAATACATCGAGCACAGCTCCTTCGACGTCTTGGATAACACATGCGGCCTGGTCCTGCGATTCGGAATTTGTCCTGGCTGCTTGCGCGAAAAGTGGCACGGTAAATGTCTTCAAGCTGCGGGATGAGGCCTGGAATGCCCGTGTAGAAGCTGGTGCAGAGGGTCTAGCGAAAGCAGAGTGGGCACCCGATGGAAGGTCAATACTGTGCTTCTCCGAGTGGGGTGTATGTTATTCTTTTTTGTCTGTAAGATAAGAATACATTGAACTCCTTTATTTTTCTTTCTTTGAAGCTGAGAGTCACCGTATGGTCTTTAATCACGGGTACAGCCACACACATCCAGTATCCTCTACACCCCGACAAAGGTAGAGACATCATGTCATATTCTCCGCCATCTATTGAATATCGCCAGGCTACGCCTTTCGAGCGGATGGGCGGTATTTTGTCCTAGCCGAACGACATAAATCCAAAGACTCGTTAGGGGTGTATGACGCCCTCGAGTCCTATCGCATGGTCAGGGTACGTTTCTGTCACAGAACGAACGAGCCTTTGTATGCAATATGATAAATCAGAATTTCTAGCATTTCCCTCTTCCGACATCATCGCTTGCGTCTCTATCATTATCACCTACTGGAAACCACACGGCCGTTTGGGAAGGTCCTCTGGAGGTAGCTACCATTCAATTTGAGCTTATTTTACATGCCTGATCTGCTCTGTAGTATAAACTTTTCATCTTGAACCTTGCAGGTGATCTTTTAGGCACGTTTTCTCCGGATCCAGATCGTGGTTTCGGTATAAGAGCCGTGACATGGCACCCATCAGGAGCATTCTTAGCAGTGGCTGGTTGGGACGACAAGGTGGGTGTACTTTATAATTCCACCATGGTGTTAGATGCTCATGACTCTTTCCGCAGATTTACATCCTTGAAAGCCTGACATGGGGACCTGTCGTTGTGCTCGATCTTCAGAGTAGAATACCCGCCGGCGTAGTAAGCATGTCCCTATGGTCGTCATATGCTAGTCTTGATATGCTCTGTGCATTCATTGTAGACAGTATGGCGTGAGCCATCAGATTGGGTTGAATCCACACAAGGGAGAGGGTTCCTTTCGTGTATGTTGCTTATTTCATACAAATTTCTTTCCGCTTGTTTTAATCTGCATAACAGATGAGCGCCCACACACACCCTACACACTATCCATTATTCGTCCAGACCTCTCTAAACCATATCCAAAGTCCGGTGCCATCCAATTAGCTTTCAACATTGATGGTACATTGCTCCTTGCACGATTCGAATCATCCCCGAACGCCGTGCATCTATTCTCCTTCCCATCGCCTGCGAAGTTGAATGAAGAACCCGGAGACACGTTAACACCTCGTTTGAAGACTGTCCTGTTGCATTCAAAGCCGGTGGTCAGCGCCCAGTGGAATCCGGTGCGCAAGGGAAGTTTGGCTATCAGCTGTGGGTCAGGAGGTATGTACATGTGGAGCGATGAATGGGTGGGTGAAAACGGTGGGAATAATGAAAGCGAGGAGGTTGCGGAGTGTATAGGTATCCCAGCGAGTAAGCGTCCTTTCAATGAGGTTTTTGCGAGTCACAGCTTTCTGATGGATCTGTCTTTAAAGGGCAATTTGAAGCTCGTGATATAAAGTGGGCCCCCGATGGCAAGGGGCTCGTCCTGCTAGACAAAGATACGTTTTGTTGTGCGTTTGAAGTTGAAGACGAAAATATGCAAGCCGAGGGAGATCATCCGTAACTGTACACATTTGTCTTGTTCTCATTCAACAAGGATGAAACTTCCTGATAATAACATTATTGATTGACTAGGCGATCAACGAATCAAACCAGTATTTTTGACTGGCAGTTTGGTATCTGTTTCCAAAAAGACAAGAGTCTGGCAATATTCATCTTATTTTGCTCCCTCATACTTAGGTTGGTCCTCGCCAACCAACGCGACCATATTCTCCCGATTCCCCGGCAAGAAGTCTATTTCATCCGGCAGCACATGTCTGAAATCCATGATCGACTACTATGGATATACCTTTTGGAACTCCTCGTCTTGGAAGAGCTCAAGAAGGTCCTCGATCTTGTCAACCCACTTCTCAGCCATGCCATCGTAAGGGGCGATTGTAACACCAGCAGAAGCAAGCACATCAGACGGCTGTGTTAGGACATGAAACTACAGTTTATATGTGAGCTATGCGTTATCGGAGGTTGATGACTTACTTGATTGTAGCGCACGACCTTCTCTCTCACAGCCCGTATGGATGTGAGAATGCCAGCATGGCGGGTCCCCTTGATACGAAGTCACTGGGCGAGATCGACAATAAGTAGAGTAGTACGTACCAATGCTCTTTAAACTCTTCCAACGTGATGTCAGGTCGTCTCTTCATCAGTGCAATGACGCGGATAGCCATGTCAGAATATGGGAAGTCAGTTTACAGATCTACCGACCCATCGATAGGCTCTTATAAAGGCCACCAACCTAGGTAGCCGCCGTTGACGTGTACGAGTGGACACAAAGTTGGCGAGGGAGCATATAAGAACGACGACATCAATGAAACACTGTGCACTGCATTGCTAAGCAGCTACTCCATTCTAACACACGGGCACACAGCTGGAACGATTTAACATGGGATGCGGAAGCTCATACTTGACCTGGTCCTCTCCAATTAGAATCTGGACGGCATTTCGATCCATGAATCTCTCCTCGTCGGGGATAGCAGTCTACTGTGAAACATATGGCCAATACCCGATATTCTTGATGTGGATTTGAATGAATGTGCACCTTCGGATGGTCCTCGCTACTGAACAAGACGAGTTTATCTTCGTGTTTCTCAGCACAGTACTCGGTTGCGCCGTCATACGTAGCGATGGGAGTTGCTGCAGCGATAAATGCATCAGATTGGTGATAACATGGAACCATTGAACGCTTTATAAGCAGCTACCGTGGAAGATGAGTGCCTGATGATAACATACCTCAGACCTGGTTGTAACGAACCACGCTATCCTAAATAGCCGATACTAGCGGGGTTGTTGCTCCTGATATGTCCGAATGTGCGAGTAGGAAGTTCTGATAAGGAGACACAAAAATGAAATCCTCAGATGTCCGAGCATGTCTTGATGAGGCAGATTACTTGTGTAGCCATTGGAGCTAAACTTTCCTGGCAAGTACTGACGCACAACATACTTCAAGGAGCCCTTTTAATACTTGTCCGGATATCTATGTCCGGATTATCTGAAGCATAGAGGAAAGTTAGACACGAGAAAGGGTTGATTATTTCTGAAATAGTTGGCCAGTATGGGTTTATGCAAGTATCAGACTATCCGTGAGTGTGACCCGACAGAATTAACGGGACATTTCATCAATAGCGAGGTTGCAGAATTGATTTGCTTGTATATCTTGCACTGTGCGGACGCATATATCGCTACCGTCTAGCCAGGTCAGCTGAAGTCGGATATCACACATGTTAGGAGCATAGTAATTGAAACTTATTCAGGCTGTTTTAAATGCTATGGAAATAGTATGACATAATGCATGAACACCATAATATTACATCGCCGAGATAGCTCAGCTGGGAGAGCAGCAGACTGAAGAGTGCCCACGGGCGTCTAATTAAGGCTTCTGAAGGTCGGGTGTTCGAGCCACCCTCTTGGCATATCCTTTTTTTCATTGTGAGCTCAAGCAGCAGGGCCCCATATTCATAATTCAATATATTACACGTAAGGCTCCAACCCTTTACTTTACCTTTACACTGATGCCGTAAATAAAGAGAAAGAATTTTAAATAGTTTATAAACAGTTTATAAAGAGTACACCCCCAAACGTGAAATTTTTGATGGCAGTAATTTGCCCAAAGAATGTGACCGGCAGACAAGTGATGTGTGACAGTGATGAGGAATCCCATGTGTAATGTTGAGAGTTAACATGAGTTTCATATGGATCTTGCCGACTTATATCAACAATGGCCGGTAATATATACCGAGGGTTGTCCGACGGCCGAAACCCACCCGTACTAAGGCTGTAGCTGCCCAAATCGCAGACCCTGGTACGAGGCTGAAAACCTGGTCGAAAGGTTGGTGCCCAATTGGGCGTCAATGTTGAGCCAGTATTTCCTCAGCGAGTCGAACTCGCGCTCTCATAAGTTAGTTGGTGCACTTGGTGGATTTGCCTAAGTCCAGTCCATCAGTGAGTTGCACATGTCAATGGCAATTATATTACCTCACTGGTATTATCAGCCTACCACAACCATTGCCAGAAAGCCAACCGCGAGGGGGTTTCTGTTCTATCTTTCTACCTAGGTCTTCGACCTTCTCTCCTTTCTCTGAAAGGCTTTCCATTTCCACACAATACGACTACAGCACTACAACGAACTACTACACCTGTACCAAACCATTGCCATGCCTCCCTTTCCACCTACCCATGCTTGCCCTAGGAGCGAACACCAACTCACCCACACTCTCCTACATCCTTCCACACTCGTCCTATTCCTCACACTGGCAGCACACATACTAGCAATCATTCTACTACACCAACGCAGGCCTCTATGTCAGCCATTGAGGGCAATCTGTAGGGCAATCTCAAAGACCAGGAAGCACATTGGAGATCTCAGGCACTATGCTAGCTGTCAGTCACTGTGGAGCACACCGACTCCTAGTCCCCCACACGCTGCTACACCCCATTGTCATCCACCATCATTCTCTACCTCGTGAATGTCAATACCATGTCCGTTGGGCCTATCTGCGGAATCTTCGTCAAGGGCATCCGGTGGGTCAGCTACAATGGTATCCTTGCCATGTTTGTGATGTATGGCATCTTTGCTCGCATCTTCTTGTTGACCCTCAATAACGGTTGTATGGTTGGTACTATCTGCCATGTTTTCGTCCTCGGGCAAGTCGCAAGTGGCAGAGACCTTTGAGAATGCTGCCAATAGGAAATCTTGCATGGTCTTTAGTTCAGCCTGGATTTGCAAGTCCAATTCGTGGTCGGTATCGTTGTGTCGTTCCAATATAGAAACAAGGGCATCAGGCATGTAATCATTGAGAAAACGAACAGCAACAAGTGCCCGGGCCTTGCGATGATACGCCCCCATTTTTATGCTAGTATACTCTCCTATTTCACCTTCCCATCTTCCGTTTCCGTTTCCGTCTCCTTCACCAGTTCTAACCTACGAGATTCGAACCAGATCCCAGATCTTCGAACCAGATCTCCGATCTTTGCGCCAGAAAGGTTCGAGTCATACCTACAAAGAGGTCCAAGCACTCGGAGATCAGTTTCCCGGAGTATCTTGGCTTGTCTATCAGTAGTATGAGAGCTATGACCTTTGCCTCGGATCTGGCCTTTTAGCTTTCTTATTGTTTTCCTCATGCCTTGTTCTCTTCGTCTTTTGTTTCTACCACATGGTCTGCTGTCATATGGTTCGTTAGCATATGGTCTGCACTGGTTTCACCTTTTATTTGGTTTTATTTTGATTTTATTTGATATTTTCGAACCTTTACTTCGAATTTAGTATATAAACCCCTGTACTTTGTCTACAACAACAGAGAAGAGTTCCCCCAGTT